TCCTGATCCAAAGTGAGCACCTATCAATGCATCTACAGGCTCTCCACAGCCCAGCTCTCTACACACCACTGCAGCATCATTCATATCCCAAATATCATCACACACTGTTCCCCACTGATCATCATGAAGAACCTCCAGTCTCCCAGCACAGCGACTGCCACCGTCCACCAACCTCACACTGACTGTACAACAGAGAGAGGGGGGGGGTTAGTGCACAACAATTCATGTATAACTACTAAGGCCAGTCAAGCTAAATATAGATAAATAATAAAATATATATTTACACACACACACACACACACATTATATATATATATATATATATATATATATATATATATATATATATATATATATATATATAATATACTAAATTAACTAACTAAATTAAGAAACACTATGTAACTATGAGAAAGAGAGAGAGAAAGAGAAAGAGAGAGAGCAGAGAGGCGAAATTGTACCTTTATTATTGTTTGATACTGAGAATATACTTACCACCTGTGGTGAGTGTGATTGTGGACAACAGAAGAATCAGAGCCACACAGCTGTCCATCTCCTTCTGACCTGCACACAGTCCGTTCAACTCAGCAGCGGAACGAACTTCACCTTCACTCCCCGAGACAGACTGAAGAAACTGAGAGAGAGAGAGCGAGAGAGAGAGGGAGAGAGAGAGAGAGAGAGAGCTCCCCACAGCCGCCAATCACACTCACTATGACCTTATTAGAAAGAGGAGAGGAAATCATCAAACATTTTCAGTGACAAATCAGAGGAGGCATTTTTTTCTTTCTCCATATTTATCAAAAGAGGTCAGCACTGATGAACAGAACTCCACCTCCGTCTCTAGAGGTGTGTGTGTGAGGAGAGACGCTCGCAGCAGTGTGGTAAGAAACACACCAACATACAGGAGACTGACTTCAGAGAGAGGAAACACTCCAGTGTAATACAGCATTAATGCTGCACCTGCAGAGAGCTGATCCACACACTGATAACCATCACACACACACTGCTCTGAGTTAGAATACAGATACACAGAAATGCAGTTTAACACTCAGTGAAGTTACAAATAAACTAAACTTACAGATGTTATTTTAACTGTTTGAATTGAGGAGTATGAATACTGCTTTTTAAAATTATTTTATTAAATAAAATGATGAAATTATCATAATGCGTAATGAAATCATGATTAAAAAAACACAAATACATAATAACTTATAATTTAATAAATACAAAATATTTGATCATAATTCAATACTTTTTTATTACAACCATTTAAATGATCACTGTTACACACATAATTGCAGGTCAGCTCTTATAAAAACATTGGCTTGATCACTGCAGTACATTTTCTTCTGCACAAGATGGCAGCAGAGATTTGATAATCAGTGAAGTATCTTCATCTCTGTTAAGCATTAGACATGTTCAGGATGTATTCTGCCTACTCAATGACAGCTGGGATAGGCTCCAGCTCCCCCCGTGACCCAGAAGGACAAGCGGCTTAGATGATGTGTGTGTGTGTGCTCAGCATTAGTTCTCTGCAGCCAGGGTTCTCACTAAAACTAGAAAATTTGATCTATCAAGTCCAGTTCTATCATCACTTCATTGGCTGCCTGTTAAACTCCATATTGATTACAAATTTCTTTTACTGACGTATAAAGCCCTACATGGGCTCGCTCCTGAGTACCTGCAAGACCTTATTTCCCATTACGAGCCACCACGATTACTCAGATCACAGAGTGCTGGCTTTTTAATAGTTCCCAGAAGAGCCTTTTCTTATAAAGCCCCCAAACTCTGGAATGATCTTCCAGAAAATGTTCGGGACTCAGACTCAGTCGCAATCTTCAAATCTAGGCTGAAAACTCACTTGTTTAGTTTAGCTTTTGGTAGTTAATGTTCCCGCCGCTCGCACGCGATCACTCAGGTTTGTGGACGGTGGAGCGGAGGGATGCCAGATTGTTTCAGGGTGCTCCTGTATCTGTGTGTCCTTTTGGTTCTCTCCTTTTAGTTAAGCTGTTATAGTCAGATCTGCCGGAGTCATTAGCCACACTCTGGAAATGATTTACATATTATTATACATTCACCCATACAGAACAAAACTAACTCCATCTCCCTACCTTTTTCCGAGTAAACGACTGCCCACCTGTCCGGCCGGACACTGATGGATGATTGTCTGTCGAGCTCTCCTGCTACCCGCTTCAGACCAGTTGCCCACGCCCAAGTCACCGCCACTTGCCCAGCTACCGTCACCTGCCTTGGACTAGCTGCCCACCCTACACTGAAGTTTTCATGGACTCCTAACTGTTACTACTACTACTCCTATTAATATTAGTAGTATAATAATTTTGTAGGTAGTTTGACCAGAGCAGGATGGGTCCCCTCTTGTGAGCCTTGGCTCCTCCCAAGGTTTCTTCCCCAGCTCTGAGGATGTTTTTCCTTGCCACTGTCGCCCCTGGCTTGCTCACCTGGAGGATTTACATTTCATGTTAAGACTGTGTCTTTAATGGATTTCTGTGAAGCTGCTTTGTGACAACATCAGTTGTAAAAAGCACTATACAAATAAATTTGACTTGACTTCTCTACAGGTTTGATTGCACAGAAAAAAAAAAAGAAACAAAATATAAGATTAATGTATGAGACAGAGTGAACATCATTCATGTAGAAAATAAAAAAAGGAAATTTAAAACTAGTAATTACTATCCAATCAAGAATAATCAGCATTACTGCCCATGTGTCTGGTTTAAAGTGTAATACAGTAGATTTTCACTCTTTAAATACAATAAAAAAATAATAATTATACTTATTCTGCATTTAACATACTAAGAAAAGAAGATCACTCAAATAAACTTGTCCTTATAAAACTAAAATCTATCGCTTGTGGTCACCTTTAAACTGAAAGCTGTTCTCTGTCATTTCTTGAGGAGAGTTTAGAATTCACTAAAAATGAATGCAGTGTGAAGAAAATAACCTTTTATTTAATGTTTTACATAAAACTGTGATAGAGTGTTAAAAGACATGAAATATGGGTTCTACACCCAAATAACGCATTATATGTTGAACAGAAAGTTATTTGTATTCGGCTATAAGCTGTATAGGACAAAGAGCAGCTCAGGAAGCCGGCACCGAACCGTTAGAGGAGCTGGCGCAGGAGCTGCACAGGGGACTACCACAGAAGGAGCAGCAGCTTGGAAAGTTGGCACCAGATCAGGACAGAGAACTGGCACAGGAGCCGCACATGGAACCAGCACTGGAGAAGGAGCAGCTCGGGAAGCTGGTAGCAGATCAGTATGGGAAGCTGGCTTAGGAGCAGCTCACAGAACTAGCGCTAGAGGAGGAGCAGCTCGGGAACCCAGCACCAGATAAGTATGGGGAGCTGGTGACCCAGAACTGGAGAAGCTTGGAGGACTGGAACCGAAGCCTTGCACTGTGGGACCCTTCTCTGCTGGTGGGGCCTCCATGGCCCAATCTCATTTCACCCCTCGCCCCTACCGCTAGCCCTTACCCTGTCCCTCCGTTTTGCACATTGATGTCTAGGGGTAGGGTTCCCGATTTTTGTTGAGATGGCAGGGTGAAGTGTTAGGGCTACACGAGATGTGTTTTCCTACCCGCACAGCTTGTGATCCGTCTGTCAGCAAGTTCCAGTGACACAGGGATGGATGAAGTCCCAGAACTTCCAGCGTGGTGTGGAGTTTGGAGGGGATAATAGTGTGAAATGCTGAGCTGTATTCAACAAACAGCATTTCAACATAATTATCCCTCTTAGTGTCCAGGTGGGACAGCGTTGTGTGGAGCAGATGTGTGATGGCATCATCTGTACAGCGGTTGGGGCAGTATGCAAAATGTAGTGGATCCACAGAGACTGGCAGTGAAGAGATGATGAAGTCCCTCATCAGCTTTTCAAAGCACTTCATCACGACTGATGTGAGGGCTACCCGTAACTAGTCATTCCTAGTTTTCATTCTCCTGAAAGCTTTTTTTTCCTCTTCCTGTAAAGTTATCATTTTGGAGATATGAGGTTTTCTTCCAACAGCAGTGATATGTTGCTCCAAAATGTGTTCAACATTAATGGTGTGCATGTGCAGGTCACCCACTAATACTCCCCTATACTGTGACAGACCCTGGCTTTTACAACAACGATCTGGATAGCCCTTTTCTTCTTTGGGCCAGAGAACGTCTATTTACCATGAGAACATCCCATGAAAAAACAACTAAAATTTGTGAGGATAATTATATTTATGCATTACAAACAATAAGAATTAATAATAAAGCATCCAACATTACAGCTAAGAATGCTGGGAAGCCTATTCAGTCTGTAAGATTGCATTGAGTCTTTAAAAATCAGACATGAGGCTTGGCCTTTTGGGTCAAACTCAAAAGCTCATTGTTGAAACTGTACAGATGGGTTCTAGGCTTTTCTGAGGTGAGGAACTCCATTTTGAGGTTGTGGGAGAGCTTATTAATATAGATATTTAAAATTTTGCTTTGTGGTGTTTCATTCAAAATATTTATTTGAGTTGAAAAAACCCAGTGAACCCACAGCTTGTTACCATATGAAGTAAATGAACTGACGCACCATTTTTTTTTTACAGTGTAGCACAGTATTTAGTAAGTAATCAATGCTTTATAACTGCTCTATAAACAGTTATAGCTGCCTGATTTTGAATGCCAACACTGAAAATAAAAAGCTGTCAAACGTCACTTACAACGAAAATGAATTCCAGACCTTCAACTCAAAACAATCATATTGTTAAACTGTAATAATAATTGAATGTTTTTGGCAACAAATGGATAATTTCTTTTAAAACCTTTTAACGGACTACCTTTATTACATCTGATACATTTTTAATGAACATAAAATACATAGAATAAAAGATCAAAAGTAAGACCATAAACATTTAGATGAATTAATGATATCGGTAAATGTTTCTAGCTGACTGGTTTGGCAGAACTCAAAGATATAAAAAAAAAATATATATATATATATATATATATATATATATGGAAAAAAGTAAATGTGGGGGTGTTTAACCCCACCATATCCCATTCATGCTCCATAAAAAATGTAATCTATAACAAAATCTTAAAGTTTCTTGCGTTTGAATGTAATTTCCTGAGGAAAGACACTGGCTCTCAGTGGTCCCTCAGTCACATGATTCATCTCTGTCTGAGGCTCCTCCTCCACGTCATCATAGTCTGTAAAACAACAAGAGCATTAAACTCTTAAAATTATTACAATAAACTATATCTTTCTTATAGTGAATGTATTCCAAAAACACCCAAAAGAGAAGAACAGAAAACTGGACTAAAACACTATACAAGTCTGTGTAACAGGTAGTCTGCAACTCAGAACAAGCTGTTCTTTAAAAGTTTCTTTTCGATAATTCTTAAAACACTACCATAATGCTAAGATGCTAAGAAAGATGCTAAGGTACTGCCAGTGAATACTGAATGAGTTTAGTTCAGTCTGATTCCCCTCCAGGTTAGTCTTTAGTCCAAGGCTCTTCAACTCTGGTCAGAGAAATCCCCAAACTGTGCTGGACACTGACCCACCAGAACCTACAGCTTTAAAGGTCTATTCTGTGTCCTTAAATAAAAGATTCCACCAACAAAACCAATACCAACTTTGCTAAAGTTTCAATCATCTGCATTGTCCTGCGGGTGTACTAATCATTATCAATCTTATTTACATGCACACTTCTGCACATCTGCACTCAGAGCCCTGTGTTTTTATCTAAACAAGACCACTACACAGTTATCTCCCCCCACCATGACCCCCAAAAATCAGGCCTATTTACATGAGTCACATACTTAAATGCACAAGTTTTGAAAATGAACATGTATGTTAGTGCCATCTGTCACATTGAGTCTAAAATTGATGGACTGCAACGCTGCATAATTTTTTAATAGAGCCTGCTCGATTTTCTGTGTAGTACAGAAGCGTTAAAAATCAGGCTGACCAATCAGAGCTCTGTTGTCATGGTTGCAGCCCAAACAAATGTGCATCAGGACTCAGCAGAGCATAAAAGCTTATACAACAAGCAACAAGCTGAATATAAAATGCAGATGTTAAAGAAAATACCGGAAATGAAAATACATGACAGGCCATAGCTGAAAGGAGAGTGAATAACAGTGAATACGTTAGTGACTGTACAGCCTTTTTAGTTTATCTAGGTGCATTCTAGTCTGTTCATATCCACAAAGAACCTCACAATATTAGCTGCCCTCGCTAACAAGCGATCATTTTAATGAGTGGAGCAATATGCAGAGCAATCAGTTTGTGTGTCATGCAGTACAGCGCTTAAAAGAAAATATTATGGATTGATCATCGTTATCTCTCAAAGAATCCATATCTTGTTCCTCTTGCATCTTCTGTGCATCAGATTTAGTGTGAAGGCACCACTACATTGAAAATGTGTTTTTTGGGTGTTTTTTTTTTCACCGAAACAAATCGTACTTGGTGTGCATAGGCCTTTAGTGTATAAGTAGACTAAATGAACTTACCCCTTCTGCTCTTTGGCCCTGTGGTTCCTTGCTCTGACATCCAAACAAATTGTGTACTTTCATTTCTTCATTTCTTTGCATCTTATTTAAGTAACTTTCTGTATTTTTTCTGTGCCCTTACGCCCTTTGGAAGTTTTTTCCATCTCTCTCTAGCTGGCCTTTACGGTTGAACCTTCCTGGTTGTTATCATTATGCTTTGTTTTGGAGTGGCAGCATTTGCATGACTGCCCAACAGCCACACACTGAGAATGCAGTGAGTCCCTAATGTGTCTAGGTCTGTGCACTCCAGTATTCACCCAGCGCATGCCATTTGCCCCGTTCATCTTGTATATAATTACGTAAGAAACAAACATGCATTTCTCTCTTTCTCTCTCTCAGCCGCCCACATACATAGTGGCCCACCAAGAATTGTCCCAGTCCTCACAATGGTCAGTTTACCTCTGCTCAGAGTGTGAAAGTAAACATGATTTATAAATTAGTCACCTGAACTGACTTCACATGAATACATATTGCTGCACTTCTTTAAAGAGTGAAGAGTATAAAATAAAGTACTTTACTAAAAAGGGCAGCGTTCTGCTCTACATCAAAATAATGAGGACACTGTTTATCATATGCCATAGATAATGCAAACATGCTTTCATGAGAATTCCAATGTACTTCAATCACTTTCTTCATCCTTCTCATTAATATTCATGTGGAATGTAGACACTCACCTTTTACCTCTCCAACATCCTGTCCAGCAGGGATGACATCATCATAGTTCTCTGGTATGTCCACAACACCAACATGGGAAGATAATTTAAGTTGAACCTGTTACAACAGCTGAGCTCTGATCAGCAGAGACATTTAAAGGATATAAAATCATTTTTAACAGAGCTGTATTAGTCAGGTGTTTCTGATATAATCAGTCAATGTAGGCTTTTATGACACTGCATTCCTATTGATTAAGTTGTTCAGTTACATATTTGAAAATACAGAAAATATTACCTTTTACAAGATGTAATTTAATAAAAATGATTAATTGTGGTCAGATTTTGCAGGTATGATGAGCATATGTTGCGGGCATCAAAATACCCTCTTGCACTTATGTGTGGACCACTGCTGTAAGGGACAGTGAAGCTCCACAAATTATTTAAAAATGTTATTACAAATACAGACTATTACATTACTCTAATTTCTTAGAATTTGTTATGCTTTTTAATCTGTGCTTAATTAAAAAAAAACTAAAACCAAAAAACAGAAACACACCTGCTACACTATCAGATATCTGTCCAGCAGTGAAGACATCATCATAGCTCTCTGCTGTGTCCTCTTTTGCTGATTCACCTAAATCCAATAAAAGCAGACTGACTTTACAAACAGGGCAATATTTTTACATTGTGGTTTAATGTGAAGATAAAATCAGGTAATTATTTAACAAAGGAACCCACTTGTCAGACCACTGGTGGTGCAAATTTTGCACATTTCATCACTTTTAATTTCAAAATAAAAACCTCATTCAGAGATGCTTTCATGTAATAATGTCAGTGTGTGATTCCATTATGATTACGGAGAGAGGCATTTCTAACAGACATTTCTGAACTAGACTAGTTAATTTTTGGGGCTTAGAAGGCAGCCTCAGTCACAAAGACTGCTCACTCTCTTACTCAGTCATGGACTCAGTCACTAACTCACTAATTAGTTTCCTCGCTTGGTCACTAACTAAATCACTCACCTATTCTATTACTCACTCACTTGGCCACTTAGTCACTCATTTAGTAACTTACTTGCTCTGTCACTAGCTCACTTAATCACTCACTCGGTCACTAACTCACTCATTTAGTCACTCATCGTTCATTTATTAATTCACTCACTGATTGATGGTCTCATTCACTCAATAACTCAATGACAGACACACACACACACAAAGACACACACTCACACACAGACATACACACTCACACACAAAGACACACAGACCCACACACAGATAGAAAAACACACAAACACAAACATGCACACACTGTGATCACATGATCACCCCCACTCTCTCTCTCTCTCTCTCTCTCTCTCTCTCTCACTCTCTCTCTCTCTCACACACACACACCTGCAGCTGTGTGGTTTTCTGCAAATACAAAAATGGAAGTTTTACAGGAATTACAGTTTAACTTCAGCTGCCTAGAAGACGCTTATCAGCAGAATTAACACATTTAACTGATTTACTCTTATTATTAATACATTGAGAAAACTATATTAAAGACAATTCATTTGAGAATATTAAATACTGCTTTAATGACTGGGCAAGACATGCATTGCATGCACTGCAGTATAATCTATAATCTCAAATGTAAATATATTTTAATTTTACACAATAATCCTCCTGTAAAACACTCCATATATCACTCACCTTCTGGAGTCGAGTCATTTGTTTCAGTGATGTATCTGCGGTTGATCTCCTAATAGACTGCCTCATTCAGAGTCTTGCACCTCCTCTTAGAGAGCACTGTGAAGGAGACAGAGAGAAACATGGAGCCAGTTCAGTAGAAGAGAAGACTGATGACAGATTGAAAGACTAATGATGTTTAGAGAATGTAGTGGATTGTAGATGATCTCTGAATCTCTCTACCTCTCCTGAGCACTCTGTTCTGGTAAAACAGCACAACCAGAAGCACTAAGGCCAGGAAGAGCCCTGCTCCCAGGAGAGACACTGGATAGATGGATGGAATGGCTGCTGGAAGAGTTTGTGGAGGAGTGATTGTTCCCTTCACTGTCTGATCAACTGAAAATAAAAATACAGAACACAAACTCTGTAGATCACTGAACAGTTTATTTAGAAGCAATTAGAAAAATGACCTAAGAGCCAAAAAAAAAAAAAACACACCTGGAGTAGTGGAGGTGGTGAATGTTGTTATGGATATAGCAGTAGAAGGGACACATACATCTGTAAATACAGAAGTAATATACAAACTTAAACAATAACAAAGCACAAAAAACTGGCATTCAATGAAGTGAAGTCATGTAAACTGGCAATTCTGTATCAGACTTCATATTACTTAAGAGCTGCATATGTCAGACTAGCATGAGATGATATTCACATCAATGCAGTCTTTCAAAGCAACTTTGTATATGTTTTGATAGGCAAGTAAAATTGTCTTGATTGGAGTCAGAAACTCCAAAATCCAGCAGACTCTACTGACTTGTACAGGTGACTCCAGCGTCCTGCCTGTGGGAGCAGTCAGTGTGGTTCTTCAGGGAATGAGGACAGTCCCACTTCACTCTGTTCAGCCCTACACCAGCACCAAAGACAGCACTCCCATCAGCACTCAGTGCCGGCCCACAGCCCAGCTGCCTGCAGACCACCTGAGCATCCCTGATGTCCCACAGATTATCACAAACAGAGCCCCACTTAGCGTTGATACACCTCCAGCCTTCCAGAGCAGCTTCCCTTTCCTCCCCTCAGCCTGAGAGGCAGGTGATCTACATCACACACGAGGAGATACAGAAACACTGATGGAGATCTTGAACACTGTTTTTGATGGGGAGATGATGAGGAGCATTTCAGATGACTTCACTTATCTATGAATGTGTCAAAATAATTTCTTTACATTTAGTTACTGTTAGAAACCTATTTTGATTATACATTTTGTCACTTCAGAGCATACAGATTTTTACACATTCTGTTCATGTCTACCATCACAAACTCCCTACCTGAACAGGTGTGAGCCACCTTGTTGCACTTATTATTTCCCCAGGGTGAAGATGGACAATGCCACAGAGTGGAGTCATGTTTCCTACACTGCAGATCATCCAGCCAGTTAGGAGCTGATTTCACTCTTGCTTTGTCTCTATTCTCACTGCCAGATCTTCCACAGTTCAGCTCCTGGCAGATCAAGCTTGCTGTTTCTTCATCTATTCCATTATCACACACATTACCCCAGGTTCCATTGTAGAACCAGATTCTCCTCACAGCCCTCAGTGATTCTGAACTCTTTAAACTCTGATGGGAAAAGAATTACTTTGCTTTAAATCAATGCAATGCTATGTAGTATTACTTCTAGAATTACCATCACTGATCCTGATACTGATCCAAAACTCACAATGCGTAGAGCGTTCATACAGCCCAGCTCTCTACACACCACTGCAGCATCAGTCATATCCCACTGAACACTACACACTCCTCTCCACTGTCCATCAACATTAACCTCCACTCTTCCAGTACAGCGGCTCTGTAAAGTTGAGAGAGAGAGAGAGAGAGAGAGAGAGAGAGAGAGAGAGAGAGAGAGAGAGAGAGAGAGAAAGAGAGAGAGAGAAAGAGAGAGAGGGGCTTACCTTAATGTTTTAATAAATAAATGATCATAAAAATAATTTTGAAATCCTAAATACTTTTTAATAACACTTTAATACAAAAAGGAGCCACTCACTCAATCTGGACTTAAAACAAGGTGATTAGTTTTAATATGATATGGCAATTTTAAAAATGGTTGTATGATTTATGACACCAATTACAGCAAAAAAATATATATATATATATATCACAACGCACTTAACAGAACATTCTTCTAAAACATGCAGTTTTTTTTCATTCCAGGTATGTGAATTTATTAATACTACTACTACTACTACTACTACTACTACTACTACTACTAATAATAATAATAATAGACATTTGTGTAGCGCTTTTCAAGCACCCAGAGATTACAGATTACAATTAGTGGCACAAGAAACAAATACATAACAACATACAAACAGATGACACAACAGAGACAGAAGTACATTCACAGCACAGATGACGAACTTACATGAGTTATAATAGTTGCATGATGCACAATCATCAAAGCTATGGAGGTTAAAGGAGGGAATAGTAAGCAGGCCAGCATTAGGAGAACAGAGAGTGCGCGTAGGCTTGTAGGAAGATCAGAGAGATAAGAAGGAGCATCATTGTTGAGAACTTTGTTGTGAGAAGAAGGATCTTAAACTGAATACGGTAGTTTATGGGAAGCCAGTGGAGGTTTTGGAGAACAGGTGTAATGTAGTGATGTGACTGGGTGTAAGTGAGACAAGCAGCAGAGTTTTGAACTGTCTGAAGTTTATGAAGTAATGAGGAATTAATGCCTACAAGAAGAGAATTGCAATAATCTAGATGACTAGAAATGAAAGCATGAATGAGAGTTTCAGCAGCTGACTAGGAAAGAGATGGTCAGATTTTTGCTATATTGCATAAGTGAAAGAAAGAGGTTTTAACAAGGGAGCTGACATGAGAGTCGAGTTTAAGTGAGGTGTCAAGGATGACATCCAGATTCCACAGAGGAGGGAGACAAAACAACATCATCAATTGAGAGTGATGGGGCCAGTTTTGTTGAGAGCATAATTAGAACCAATGAGAATGAGTCCAGTCTTATCACTGTTTAGCATTAGAGAGTTGTATTTCATTCAGTTCCTGATGTCCGAGAGGCACAATTCCAAATTGCCAAGAGGGGGGTTAATGGGTGAATTTGTCCAAAGATAAATCTGAGGGAGCATAAAATTATGGATAATAATGGTTCAAGTACAGAACCCTGCAGAACCCCATGAGTGACAGTGGAATTGGAGGAATGATGCCCAGAGAGAGTAACAAACGGTTTACGATATGTTAGATAGGAAGTAAACCAGAGCAGAGCCTACAATACCCAGCTCACTCAGTCTAGAGAGGAGGATGGAATGTTTAACTGTGTTGATTGCAGCGCTTAAATCGAGTAGCACAAGAATGCTAATAGCATCGGCATCAGCTGTCACCAGGAGATCATTAACAACCTTAACCAGAGCTGTTTCAGTGCTATAATGTGGCTGAAAACCAGACTGGAAGGGATCTAGAAGATTATTCGTTTCCAAATAATCTTTGAGCTGTATTGCGACAAAATGGTTGAGGACTTTCGATAAGAATGGAAGATTTGAGATGGGACAAAAGTTATTAAAGCTAGATTGGTCGAGGCCAGGTTTCTTAGGGACTGGAGTAACTGCAGCAATTTTGTACACCGAGGGAACATGGCCAGAAGATAATGTCCGGTTAATGATAGAAGAGAGATGGGGGACCAGAGTAGACATACAGGCTTTGACTAGTGGTGTGGGGAGGGGGTCGAGTGAGCAGGTCACACATTTACAATTAATAATGATTTCACTAACAAGAGACTCAGGGTTGAAAGCAGGGAAGCAGGGTGAGTCTAAGGGCTGGGTGTTCAACGGAGAGCAAACGAAGGTTTTAGGGGAGGAGACCATAAGAGAGTTGTTGATTTTAGATATTCCAAAAAAAATGTAAGAATGAGTTACAGAGTTCAGAGCTACAATGCCTACTCGGGGTTTGAAAAGCTCAGAGACGGTTGAAAACAGGTGGCAGGAGTTTGAGTTAGGCCTGTTAAAAAGACTAGAAAGATAGCTACATATAGCAGCGCACAGTGCATCTCTGTAAGCACAGAAAAGCTCCTTATAAGCATCAGCATGCACTGCAAGATTTTTTATACAGCCTTTCAAGTCGACAACAAGCCTGCTTCATGGTGCGAGGTTCAGTAGTGTACAAAGGTGCAGAAGTGGTCAAAGAAACAGCTTTGGTTTTCATGGGGCTACTGCACTGAGAGAGACAAATTCAGCGTTGTAGCATGTTCCTCGGAAGAAAGAGGTGCAAAATGGAGTGGAAAAGCCCTAGAAATATACTGGATAAGAGAATGAGGGCCAACAGATTTAATACCATGGAAAGAGTTACGTTTTTTAACCGACTGATCAGTTACAGTAGCAGGGACAGCAAACAGAATAAGCTTATGGCCTGATAATGTAAACAGAAGAGAATGGAGATTCAGAATCTGTACAGAGGAGGAGCAGACTAGGTCAAGAGTGAGGCCTCTGTCATGAGTGGCAAAGTCAACATGCTGAGTGAAGAGAAAACATTCAAAGAGAGACAGAAAATCAGTCACATATTTACCAGTAGGAACATTAATACGAATATGAAGTCACCGAGTAGCAACAAGCGGGAGGAAGCTGAGCTAGCAAGAGTCAGATAAAAAGGAAACATTAGGTTTTGGTGGGCGGTAAATCAGCAATGCATCGGTGGACCCAGGTAGTTTGATAGCAAGGTATTCGAAGGAAACCGGAGATGAAAATGTTCAGTAAAGCTAAATTTGTTGTAGAAGATTATTGCCAGGCCACCCCCACACCCAGAAGGACGAGTCTTACAAACATCATTAAAATTGAGGGGGCAGCCTGGTTAAGTGCATAGTAATCCCCAGCTTGCCATGTTTCGGTTAAGAAAAGCAAATCAACAGCACGATCAAATACTAGTTCTTGCAGCAGAGAAGATTTGTTAGAAAGAGAGCGAACATTAAGTAGAGCAAACGAGACACACAAGGAGCTGGAACAAGAGAGCGCAGGTTACTGAGGTTAGAGGAGCGGATAGATGAGCGAACAGAAATGCGAGAGCGAGTCCAAAAAGAACAAATGTTGGTACCATCAGAGTAATGCACAGATCTGTTGCGATTTAATCTCAAGCCACGGTGAACGTAACGTCGTCGACAGAGTATACCAGCTCTATTGGCTGCTATTGCAATAATTTTGGGGAGACGATAGGAGTGACTATATTTATGCAGTTCAGTAGCAGTGTAAGACAGATGGTGTGACTAAAACGGAGGTTCCAGAGACGAGTAGGGGAAAACCAAACCTGGGAAACCTGGAGTAGCAATAAAGCAATAATATCAGAACGTTTAATAGATGCACTGACAGGCCAGAGGACGATGCACGGAGACAAGAGAGAGGTAGGTTAGCATTATTACACCGAGTTACTCTGCAACAGATAACAACGAAGACCAGATTTGGGCAGCCAGTTCAGTCAGGACTAGTGTCCAGGCATATCGGAATTGGAGCAGGATAGCCGGGATGCTAACAGCCAGGCTCAGTAGGGTTAGAGCAGAACAGGCACAGTGCTAACAGTCAGGTTCAGCAGGGTAGAAGCAGGATAGCCGCAGAGCTAACCGAGAGGCGCAGGGGTAGTGGAGCAGGGTAGCCGCAGTGCTAACAGTCAAGCTACGGCGTAGTGGAGCAGGATAGCTGCGGTGCTAACAGTCAGGCTATGGTGTAGTGGAGCAGGATAGCCGCGGTGCTAACAGTCAGGCTCCGGGGAAATGGAGCAGGATAGTCGCAGTGCTGACAGTTAGGCTCCTGTGAAGTGGAGCAGGACAGCCGCAGTGCTAACAGTTAGGCTATGGCGTAGTGGAGCAGGATACCCGCGGTGCTAACAGTCAGGCTCCGGTGTAGTGGAGCAGGATAGCCGCAGTGCTAACAGTCAGGCCCCTGGGAAGTGGAGCAGGATAGCCGCAGTGCTGACAGTTAGGCTCCTGTGAAGTGGAGCAGGACAGCCGCAGTGCTAACAGTTAGGCTATGGCGTAGTGGAGCAGGATACCCGCGGTGCTAACAGTCAGGCTCCGGTGTAGTGGAGCAGGATAGCCGCAGTGCTAACAGTCAGGCTCCTGGGAAGTGGAGCAGGATAGCCGCAGTGCTGACAGTTAGGCTCCTGTGAAGTGGAGCAGGACAGCCGCAGTGCTAACAGTTAGGCTATGGTGTAGTGGAGCAGGATACCCGCGGTGCTAACAGTCAGGCTCCGGTGTAGTGGAGCAGGATAGCCGCAGTGCTAACAGTCAGGCTCCTGGGAAGTGGAGCAGGATAGCCGCAGTGCTAACAGTTAGGCTCCGGCGTAGTGGAGCACGATAGCCGTGGGGCTAACAGTTAGGCTCCGGTGAAGTGGAGCAGGATAGCTGCGGTGCTAACAGTCAGGCTATGGCGTAGTGGAACAGGATAGCCGCAGTGCTAACAGTCAGGCTACGGGGAAGTGGAGCAGGATAGCCGCAGTGCTAACAGTCAGGCTCCGGTGAAGTGGTGCAGGATTGCCGCAGTGCTAACAGTCAGGCTCCGGGGAAGTGGTGCAGGATAGCCGCAGTGCTAACAGTCAGGCTCTGGGGAGGAGAGCAGAATAGCCACGGTGTCAACAGCCAGCCTCGGGGGAAGTGGAGCAGGATAGCCGCGACGCTAGCAGCTAGGCTCGTCAAAGTTACAGGAGGATAGTCGCAGTGCTAACAGCGAGGCTCAGCAGTATTATTCATATGTTAAACTGACAACTTGTGTACTTACTAGCTGTGTGAGTGTGATTGTGGAGGACAGAAGAATGAGAGCCACACAGCTGTCCATCTCCCTCTGACCTGCACACAGTCCGTTCAACTCAGCAGCAGAACAAGCTTCACCTCCACTCCTCCAGAGAGACTGACGAAAATCCATCTCACACACACACATACACAGATAACATACTCTCACACGCACACACACACACAAACACTGTTTCCTACACTAGTGTCCTAATATGAATTCAGTGTTATTTCATAAATAAATAAATAAAATTACAATAGACGTTTAGAAATATTCATTTTCATTTCATCTTCTCTTCAACCTTAAGCATTTGCATTTCTATCTACATTAATGCCCTATAGATGTAATGACAAAGTACTACTTAAGTAAAATATAAGACAAATGTATGAGAATTTATGATGTAGAAATGAAACTAAATAAATAAATAAATAAACTAAATTCTGCATCCAATCACGAATAACAGACCAATCAGGGGAAGCAGCATGACTTTGTATAAATGTTGATTATAATGAAAAGTATAAAGTGGTATTTTTACCCTAAAACAATAATAATAATAATAATAATAATAACTATATATATATATATATATATATATATATATATATATATATATATAATTATAATATTTTATATATTATAATAATATTATAATATATTTAATTATATATTGTTTAATATATATGTGAAAGAAGCATTTTCCTGTGCTGTATGTAAAGATATATCATATTATAATTATCAAAGTCATCTGTATGTCGTGCATTTGATTGTGAAGCAGATCACTGCCGTCTAATGGATCATAAAGATCTGGACCCTCACACAGAAAAGGCTTATGGACTGCATTTCATGTCGGATACATGACTAAATAGCGATGTTTCTAACAGCATGGTGGAATTGGAGGGGCACACTCTCTTTAGAGCTGACAGGTCAGCTACAGCTTCGGGTAAGAGCCACGGTGGTGGTGTTTGCATTTATGTAAACAAAGCTTGGTGCACAGACTCTGTCGTTGATACCCACTGCTTTGCTGATTTAGAGTTCCTGATTATCAAGTGCAGACCCTTCTATCTTCCACATGAGTTTACCTGCATCATGGCTGCTGCAGTTTATGTTCCCCCAGACGCTAATGCTAACGTGACTATGAAAGATCTTTGTGTTGCTATTAGCAAACTGCAAACTGTGCACCTGGATGGAGCCTTTATTGTCGCTGGGACTTTAATCACTGCAGTTTGAAATCTGTACTTCCAAAGTTTCACCAGAATGTCTCCTGCAACACAAGGGGACAAAGAACTTTGGATCACGTTTACACCAGTGTGGCTAAAGCCTACAAAGCCACACCCCTCCCCCATCTGAGACAGTCTGACTACCTTTCTTTGTTCCTGCTCCCCAAGTACACCCCAGTCATCAACTATGTGAAACCCACAACAAGATCTGTGAAGATCTGGATGGAAAGGACTGACTCCTTTCTTCAGCACCAGTTCCAGCACACATACTGGAGTGTGTTTGCAGCCCAGGCCACGACAGACACTCACACCAACATTGACATTTACACCAACTGTTCTAGAACATAACAGCTGTGTGGACAGAGTGACAACTCACAAAATAATAAAGACCTTCCCTAACCAGAAGCCCCAGATGAACAGAGAAGTTCGCCTCCTGCTCAAGGCAAGAGATGCTGCCTTCAGGTCTGGAGATCAGGAGGCTTACAGCTCAGCCAGAGCCAACCTCAGAAGAGGCATCTCAAAGGCCAAACACTGTTACAGACAATGGTCTGAAGAGCACTTCAACTCCTCTGACCCCCGGCGCATACAGGTATACAGACAATTACTGACTTCAAACCACCCAGCACTGTGTCCCCTACCGCTGTCGCTGGACCAGTCAGTTGTCCCAACCAGCTTCAAGACTGCCACCATTGTACCAGTGCCAAAGCATTTGACTGCCTCAGGCCTCAGTGACTTCTGCCCTGTCTCACTCACCTCCATCATCTCCAAGTGCTTTGAAAGACTAGTTCTTTCTCATTTGAATTCCTGTCTGCCAGCTACATTGGACCCACATCAATTTGCCTACCGCCACAACAGGTCAACGGAGGACGCCATTTCTACGGCGCTCCACACTGTACTCACCCACCTGGACTGTCATAACCCCTATGATAGAATGCTGTACATTGACTTCAGTTCAGCATTTAACACAGTGATCCCTTCTAAGTTGATCTTAAAGCTTATCCAGCTTGGTATCAGCACATCTCTCTGCAGTTGGATTCTGGACTTCCTGACTGACAGACCTCAGTCTGTGAAGTTAGACAAACTCTTCTCCTCCTCCATTACCCTGAACACCAGAGTGACACAAGGCTGTGTGCTCAGCCCTCTTCTGTACTCCTTGTTCACCCATGACTGTGTTCCTGTTTATGGCTCTAACTCTATAATCAAGTTCGCGGACAACACCATGGTGATAGGTCTGATCAGAGGTGACGATGAGTCAGCCTACAGGGACGAGGTGCAGCACCTGGCGGCATGGTGTGAGGACAACAACCTGGCGCTCAACACCCAGAAAACCAAGGAGATCATAGTGGATTTCAGGAGGGGCAGGAGCCAGGCACACTCTCCCATGTACATCAGCGGAGCTGAGACAGACTGCGTGTCTGACTTTAAGATCCTTGGCATCCACATCTCGGATGATCTCACCTGGTCTTTAAACTCCTTCATCAAGGTCAAAAAGGTGCAACAGCGTCTTTACTTCCTACGGAGCCTCAAGAAAGCTCACCTGTGTCCCGGGATACTGGTGAACCTCTACTGCTGTACCACTGAGAGCATACTCTCAAACTGCATCTCAGTGTGGTACGGCAACTGCTCTGCATCTGACCGCAAAGTGCTCCAGCGGGTGGTGAAAACTGCCCAATGCATCCCAACATTTACTGTAAGTGCTGTCTGGGCGAGGAACATCATCAAGAATGTTTCTAACCATTTTTACCCTCCTCCCATCTGGCAGGCATTACAGAAGCCTTCGCTCCTGCACCAGTAGGGGTGGGCGGATCAAATATCGATACTATTAATACCAACGTTGGTATTGGTATCGGATCGATACTATCATGATGGTATCAATACTTCTCTCCTCTACGTTCAGTACGTTGCTTTCGTTTCATCAAAAAGTAGAGGTGTCTGCAAACACCGCTCATTTCACATCTTGCATGCACACTGTGCTCCTCTTCCTCCCTTGCTCTGCTGTTTTGTTGTTGTGTTGTCACGTGGCTCAGCGCCGCTAAGAGCGGACACTTGTAGGCTGTAGTGATTGAGAGCATAGCAGAGAGAAAGAGGAGCGTCGTGTGGCAATATTTTATGGCTGTAAATGAAAACCTTGCAAACTGTGATGTGTGTAAAAAGGCTGTTTGCTACTGTGGCAACACCACTAATTTATACAAACATATGAAAAACGCAAAAAAGGGAATTCCGAGCTAAAGAAACAGAGAGAGGAGGATTGAAATCCCTCAGACAGACCTAGACCCCCGGCACAGAGACAGAGGTCACTGTCAGACTCCTTTCAGAGAGGCAAAGATTATTCAGGTAGCTTATATAGTGGTATATTATTTTATTGTTTCTGAACAAAAAAAAACTATCTGAAAAAGAATTTGGGTTTTAAAACATTCGTTCTCCAGTAAAAATATTGTACACTTTGTTTTCACCAAAGCCAGAGAAATGCAGTGAAAGATAGAAATTAAGGCTTCTTATAATTTAGTTGTTCCTGAACAAAAATCACAGGCCAAAGGAAAGAAGGGTGAAAGTTTTAAAACATTCATTGTTCTCCAGTAGTAATTTAGTTCAGAATTCATGTTTTCAAATTAAGTTCATTACAGTATTAAAAAATATTTTTTTATTTCCCTAAAAACTTTGCTGATTAACATGCACATAATTAACTAATTAACAGTGGGAAGCAAAAATCATTTAGTGGTCATGAAAATGTATTTAGATTTAGCATATTGATGATAGATTCACCTCATAAATCATGACACACTGCTCTCCCTTACATGAAAGTACATAAGCTGCTTTTATAAAAAGTATTGGTATCTGATACCAATACCGGCTCTGTATTTACATTTACTTGGTATCAGATCGATACCAAATTTTGCAGTATCGCGCACCAATACGCACCAGCAGGCTCAGGAAGAGCTTCTTCCCTGAGGCTGTGACCCTGCTGAACTCCTCACTGCAACTTTAACTGCATCTTTGCACTCACTGCACTGTACTTTATATCCTAGTATTATTGCACTATTCATATTTGCACCAACAGTTACTGTACAAATGTACTCTGCATACTTTTACAATATGCTGCTGTCACAGTACATACAACCAACATTTGCATTTTCTTTGTATGTATGTATATTATATTTATACTTGCACATCTTTTTTTACTTCTCTACCATCCTCAGTTGTACATATTATAACCACAGCATCACTTACCATGGTTACCTCCTGCACTTTATATGTAAATAATACTGGATTTTGCACTTCTGGTTAGATGCTAACTGCATTTCATTGGCTCTGTACTTGTACTCTGCACAATGACAATAAAGTTGAATCCAATCTAATCTAATAAATCTGATTCTTAATCAATATTGACTGGTAACGCATGGAAAACTCAGTCCATCAGGGCTATAGACTAGATTAACCCCTTAAAATCCTAGGCTTATAACATACTAAGGCTTATTATTAAGTAAATGTACAGACTACAATGCAAAAGTTATTCTTAGGTTATAAAAGCGTGTACTGAAACCTGGCAATTAAAAAAATTAAATATAGTTTTGCTTTTATACGTATTTACAACAGTTTATTCCTTTTAGGATTTTTAGTTAGAGATTTGAAACAGCCATAATGAAAATCACAATTCAGAGTTCATGCTTCAAACAAAATAATCTGCTGTTATAAACCAACGTGTTTAACCAGATTTCATCACATCTAGACCCTTACTGACGAAGCTTTATAAAATATTTTCATTATCAAGCAATGCTGTGTAAGTACTCTAATCGACTTCATGACAGAGATGAGTTTGTCTTCTTTAATACAGAAAGCACTCAGAAGGATGGAACCTGTTAACATTTTATTAGGCAATGATTGACTTCAGTACAGTTCAGTTATTTATTCATAAAGTGACAAACTGTTCATTCCGAGTTTAAAGAGTTTAAACATTAAAATATTAGAAGAAAACTGTGCTTTTGTTGTAGATGTAGGTATCAGCCCATTCCTTCATCTTGCT